GAGGATTGAGGATTTTGGCTGGCGTCACATTTCAAAACCTAATGTGTTTGGTAGGAGAAATCATGGGAAGGAGAAAAAGGAATGGAGAGAGTGGAGGAGGAGAGTACCTTTTCATATTTGGTTGGAGGGATTCCATAAAGTAGAAAGATAGTGAAGATAGCTAATCCTTGAGTCAAATTATATATTTCGTTAATTTCTTTTGGCACTTATTTTATATATATATATATATATAATCACTCACCAGTTACACAAGCCCAATTTATTGTTTCTTATTTGACACACTTTTTCAACTGTTGGATATGAAATTAATAGTGTGGATAAAAAGAGCGACAACCAACAACCTAATATCATTTCTTTTACTTTAGAATAGGAAAAAAAAAATGTTAAAAACATGATAGATTGTAGAAGCACGAAACAACATCACTATAACAAATTTGACATGACGATTATTTAACGACGTTTTAAAGAAAAAAAAAAGGTCATATAATGTGCTAATAAAAAACACGAAACAAAGATTACTATTTTTCAGAAATCCATACTGACACTTAAGGACAGTTTGCTTATACATTAGATGACGGATTTTTAAAAAATCGTCATCTAATATACTCGCTTAAAAAAGAAAAAAACGAGTATATTAGACGACAGTTTTTAAAAAACCGTCGTCTAATGTATAACATTTAACGACAGTTTCTAGAAAACTATCGTTAAATGTCATTGCTTTTTGAAAAAAAAAAAAAATAGACTTTTTCTCACTCATTGTTTTCTCTTTAAATTTTTAAAACTTTCTCTTTCCCTTTTATAATTTTGAGCATTCTCTTTCATTTTTCACTCGCTCTCACTTCCAAACTTTAAATTTTTCTCTGAAATCCGCTTCTCTCTTTCCCGTTCTCTCTTTAATTCCTTCTCTTTTGAAACCTTAGTATTTTTCTTCCAAATTCCTTTCTCTTTGTTACTCATTCCTCACTCTAACAATCCTCATCATTCTTGTCTTCGTGGCTAGATGACCATGCTCATTACCATATCATTTTCCCATATTATCAACACTAGAATTACCCTCATATCTCTTGAATATTAAAGGCTCGTTTGGTTAATACGTTCAAATAAGTTATTTTTATTATAGCATTTTAAATTTAAATTTTTTATAAAATAAAAATACTATAATAAAATTAAAATCTTGAGTTTAAACGCATGAAATAAACTCGTCCTAAATAATTGTTTATCTTTCGGTTTATAGCCTAGACCCCTTGCAAAAAGAAATTCTATGACGAATGAACAACTAACATGTGCCACATTCTCTGTGCCTATTTACCTACTTGGCAGCACACAAGTCCGCCATTTTCAATACAGCTGCCTATATATAGGGTAAATGAAACCAATCAAGTAAAACTCCCACCGACCACATTTAGGCGTTAAAATTTTTAACTATAAAAAAAATTAAATGTAACTTTTTATAAAAATTTTTAATTATAATAAAATTAAAATTAAAAATTTAAATTGATTAAATGATCGAGCCTTAATGTTTCTAAAATAAAAAGTTTTGGGCTTTTGTTAAGAAACTATCTATTTTCAAATATAATCTAACATAAAAATGATACATGATGGTTTTAGTTGTAAATAAAAAAATTAAAAAAAACAGATTTTAACAGCAATAATAATAATTCAGATCTTCAATAAAAACCTAAATTTTGTTGCCTAGCCTAAATTTGTTGTTTTCTCATTAAGAAATTTTTTAAATCAACTAGTTTTATTTTTCACCATTTATCCTTCTTAAAATTCTGATGTGTCATCTCCATGTTATATATATATATATATATATATATATTAACACACACACACACATATATATATATATATATTGAAATGTCTCTGTATTAACACATGGGACAAAAAAGTATATATTCGAAATATTAGGGTAGTGAAACCTTTAAAAATAAATATTAATGATGAAAATGAGACAAGTGCATATCTTTAATAACTATCGGTGAAAATAACCATTTTTATAAATAAGGGATTCGGTCTAAAATAAAAGCACAATTAAAATTTAATGTCTTTAAAATTAAAAGGGTAATTTACTATGGATCAATTTGGCATTCTTGTGTTGTTGAAAATTTTTACTATTTTGTGTTGTAAATTAGAAGTTGATGTGATTAAAGCTGTAAGAAATCACCCCAAACCCGGCCGAGCTGAGCCAATCGTCCAATCCTACCCAAAAATCACAGGTTTTCAATTTTTATTTAATATTTGGTTTTACTTATGCTCAACCCGCACTTTACGGGTAGGGCACAGGGTGGGGTCTCATGAACCCGAGGTACCCTGACCCAGCCGAACCTGTTGAGAAAGTAGGTAAAATAATGCCAAACCCTCATGTTTCTCACTCTTTCTCAAATGTAACCTTGTTTAGCCAGCTTGGTAATCTGTTTTTTTTTTCCAGCTTTAACGTAAAGGTAACAAAACAAATTTTCAAAAGTGAGAATGAGCCAGGCTTAATAGAGGGCCTAACATGCCTTGAGATTGGCTCAATCGTAAGGCCCAACTCGCAATATCAGCCAACCCTACCCAAGGTAACCTGATGGTGTACGGGTTTTGTTGCGGCCTGGCAAATTCCCAACCCGATTTTTGTGGCTCGACCCAAATTTCAGCCACACTTGAGCCTACACGGCCGATTTACACCCCTAACTGTGACCAGAAGCATGTAAGTGTTTAGTAAATTTTTTTTAAAAAAATTATTGTGAATATCTAAAGCATAAATTTATGTATTTGATAAACTATGTATAAAATTGTTAGGAAGATGTATAATGGCTAAACTAGACATACTTTAGTATAAAAATTTATATTTAGATTTATTTCTATTTTTAGGCAATACTAATAATATTTTTACATCACAATATCGGAAAAAAAAAATAATTTTAACTTTCTTAATTAAAATATTTTTAAAAATTAAATTTGAATAGAAAAATTATTCATCTATTATATTAAATTTCTTATTTATTGTTGCTATTTTTAAATATTTTGATCATTATAAAAAAAATATTTGAGTAAAATTTACCATAGTATACTTATTAAAGATATTCAATTTTCAAATAACCGTTTAAAAAGTATTTTTTAATTTGGTATGCAAATAATAAAATTAGTAGATTGAGAATTAAGTTTTGTTGTTAAGGTTATTTAAGTAAATTTAGACAATGACCGCAAAAAATGCTATGTAAAAGCAATTTCTAACGTGTTTCTAAAATTTTATTTTTTTACAGCAACAAAAACAGAATTTATTAAACATTCTAATATGTTTTAACTTCTTAAAAACACTAAAAGCAGCTTTTAAAAATAATGTCATATAAGGCTCTATATATTATAGTATATGGGACATTTATTAGACTTAAACTCAAAAATGGATCGTTAGCTATCGCCAAAGAGAGGTAAAATGTGAATGCGTCTAAATTAGGCTTAATGCCACTTATGAAGTCTAATTATATATCTCAATCTATTTTCCTTTCAATTATAACACCGTAAAATTAGGAAGTGAATTGAGGTGGAATTTTCATATTCTTGTTCTTTTCCAACTCCTTTAAAAAAAAAAAAAAATTAATGTGTTTTAAGACCAACCCTTTAAAAGTGGTATCCCTCTAAGTCACTGAGGTAAATATAACTTGTGTGCTGTAATAAGAGAAAAACCATTCTTGGGTAATTGTTGTTCGAACGCATCATTTATGTGGAAACTTTTGAGCTTAATTTTAGGTGTAAGGTCTGGGTTACGCCATAAATCAAATGAACGGGAGGAATAATAATTTTAAATGGTTGAATTTCCAACGTACCATTCTCGTGAAAAACTCGAGCATAATTTTTATATCACAAATAAATTATTAGATTTTTAAAGATATCAATCATGTCTTCACGTTCCTAGCCTAACGGCCATTTGGTGATTTATTAAGAACATAAGTAGAATAGAAAGGACCTAACTCATACATTGATGAACTAACATTTAGAGAGTTCAAATCATATTAGCTCAAGCTGTGTTCGGCAGGCCGATGAGAGGCCTTATTTTAGTCTCATTATAAATAATGAAAATTAATCCCTAAATGTTAGGTAAAAGAGTCATAATAGCCGTCTTTTACTGTTATGTCACCAACAATTATGATAATAAATAATTAGACTTTTCCGGATATACAGAGCTATTAGAGAAAATTGTCGAGTTTATTTTTAGAGTGCACAAATCTAAATTTTTATTTATTATTATTGATTAATACTTTTTAATTAATATATTTATTTAATTAAAAAGATATTAATCAAGAATAAAGAGTAAAAATCTAGACTCATGTATTCTAAAAAATATTTATCTCTTTTTTCCAAACTATTAACATCAAAATCTAAAAAAAATTATTAAACTTACCCTTAAAATATATGAAGGGAAATAGTAGAAAATACGCCAATATGAAAAGCTTAAAAAAGTATATAGGCCAATTTTTAGTTATAAAAATTAATAGGCCATAACTTGTCAAGTTATGATTCATAACCAGATAAGTTATTGACAAACTTGTCAAGTTATGGTTCATAGTCAGACTAGTTATGGACAATTATGGACAATAACTTGTCTGGTTATGAACCATAACTTGACAAGTTATGGACGAAAATAGTAATTTAGCCTATTTATTAACTTATATAAACTATTAATCTATTAATTTTAATTCATCTCAAATCTTGACTTATTTCTCTATTTCTCTCATATATAAATCTAAATTTTTACCCGGTCTTAATTAATATCTTTTATTTGAACAAAAAGAATATTAAAGAAGATCCCTAACATCTACATGTTGTAGCCCATATAGGCTAAAGGCCCAGGCCCATTTGAGGACATTCCTCAACAACTCCCAAAGACATACACAGGTCCCCGAAATCGAGTGGGTTTTTGCTTTTTGTCAATATGGTTGGTGAGCAAAGTGACATTGTACTTTGAATAAATAAATTTTTAAAGAAAAAACCTGCAATCTTATAAAGATATAAATACCACTCAAACGAGTCTCCACTTCGATCTCTCCATTTCCGACTTCTCTCTCTTCCTCGTACTCGATCTCTCTGTAATCGTAAAGCTTCCAAATTCAGTTCCAATGGCATACGAGGGAATCCTTCTGGGGATGGGAAATCCTCTTCTCGACATCTCAGCCGTCGTCGACGAAGAGTTCCTCAAGAAGTAAGTCCTCTCTCTCACATTAGATCTTCTTTCAGCTGTTCTGCACTTTCCTAGGCGTGTTTGGTTTCCGGGAAAATGCAGTGAAATTGAGCATTTTTTTTAGCTCAGATTATAAGGAAGCTGTGTAAACTTTTGGTTCATGACCTTTCTTGAGCAACAAGCGAAACGGTTATGCGTTCTGATTCGAGATCTAATCTCGCTAGTTTGAAATTGTTGTTTTAGGGTAAAAATGATGAGTTTCTTACCTTAATATCTAACATTTTTGGATTTTTCTGGATGCAATATAGTAGATCTAAATGCTTTCTTTCATATCTGATTGAAACTTGAAATTATAGATCTGTCCCATTCTGGATCTGTTCAGAAGCTGAAGAAAACATTAAACAAGATAGATCTGAAGTGCTCTGGAGCTTAATTCGTTTCTTCTGTTACTATGAAAATGATTTAATCATTAACAATACTTAATATATACTCACCTAATTATTATTATTATTATTTTTTTGGTTCCAAATTTTTCTTGTGGATGATTGGATTTATGGTTTTTTCTTTTGACAGATATGATGTCAAGTTGAACAATGCCATTCTTGCCGAGGATAAGCACTTGTCCATGTAAGTTTTCTTCTCCATAATAGTTATGAGGTATTAAAGGAGATTCAAGCTTTTTTTTTTCTTTTCCTGTATACGAAGCAATTTATATTTTTGAAAATTCTTTTGTTTGGTTGATTCAACAATAGATTAAAATCAGGTTTGTCTGTCTATTTGAAATATTGCACCTTGCTGAAACAAATTTGTATATGATATTTTAGGTACAATGATCTGGCTGAGAATTACAATGTGGAATATATTGCTGGAGGTAAGTTGGAAGTTGTACTTTCTTTTGATGTCAATTGGGGCCTTCTTTTATGATTTTATTCCAACTTACAACTTACTTTGTAGTGATGCCTATATTTGGTATGTGGTCAATATATTGATTTCACGTTTTATGTTATTTTTTAAAATGTAGGTGCTACACAAAATTCAATCAAAGTTGCCCAGGTTTGTTCAACTTCTTTGACATGCATAACTATGTGATTGTTTTGAGATCCTGATAAAAGCTACTTATAAAATTCTTTGTTGATTCTCATTTTGCACTGTTTTGGTTCTCCAGTGGATGCTCCAAATCCCTGGCGCAACTGGTTACATTGGTAGCATTGGAAAGGACAAATTTGGAGAGGAAATGAAGAAGAATTCCAGACTTGCCGGTGTTAATGTAAGTATCTGTACGTCTTACACGTATTCAATTCCCTCCTTTGTTCTCCAACTCTTCAAATGGTTTTTTGATTCAAGGAATTATTGTCACCAATATAACAGGTGCAGTATTATGAAGATGAAACTGCACCAACGGGAACATGTGCTGTTTGTGTTGTTGGTGGTGAGAGGTCAGTTCCATGACTTCTGTGCCCTAAGATTTTCTTTCTACTATGAGTTGAGATTCATTATATAATTCTCTAGTATTGTATGTCCCTTGGTCATACTTGCATCTTGATAAGACATTTCGTTTTCTAACAATTCACAAACACGGAATATGATTAGCTTTGAAAAGGGAAAAAAATTAATAAAGGCAGCGACTGATAGTATATAAGTTGGTTGTTTCCTCTTTGAACGACCACTACAATGTTCTTGTTAATCATTACTCCACCTGTTAGCATTTTTATCGGTTCTGTGAAAAGCCTATCTTATAATTTATATGCGTCCCTAGTTTTTCTGAATTTTCCTGAATTTATTGTCACAACTGCTAATATTATCTGTTACTTCTTTTGATGAATAACTGCTCAGGTCACTCATTGCGAACTTGTCAGCTGCAAATTGTTACAAATCTGAGCACTTGAAGCGACCGGAAAATTGGGCACTAGGTACTCTGCTTGTTCTTTTGTCGGTTCAGCTTTTATCCTTTTTGCATAGTTGCTGGCCTTACATTGCCATGGACTAACTAAAATCCAACTTGAACAGTGGAAAAGGCCAAATATTTCTACATTGCTGGATTTTTCCTCACTGTATCTCCAGAGTCCATTCTACTTGTTGCTGAACATGCAGCTGCAAAGAACAAGGTAAGAGTTATGACATTAGATACTGGGATCGTTTTTTCTTTCAATTGTTTAATCTCCAGTAGCTTCACCTGGCACTCCTCAACCTCTGCAGGTCTTCACCATGAACCTTTCTGCTCCATTCATCTGTGAATTCTTCAAAGATGCACAGGAGAAGGCTCTGCCGTAAGTCTCCATCTCCCTTTTTTCTTTGTTCTGTATTTCTCATATCTATAATTATATCATTAAGTTTCCATCTATTCGTTTCTTTTCTTTGTTCCTTGTTTGTCACATCTGTATATATGACACGGAATATTCAATTGCCTTTTCAATGCAGGTATGTGGACTATGTATTCGGGAATGAGACAGAAGCAAGAACCTTTGCTAGGGTTCGTGGCTGGGAGGTAAGGGTTACTTGGTTTTTGAGCAGTCAGATGTGCGAACTGAAATTATTCTCCCTCTATTAATCACTTTAATCAATCTTCTTTCATATCAGACCGAAAATGTTGAAGAGATTGCTGTAAAGATTTCCCAGTTACCCAAGGCATCCGGTACCCACAAGAGGATCACTGTTATCACTCAAGGTGCAGATCCTGTTGTAGTTGCTGAGGATGGGAAGACAAAGCTGTTCCCTGTTATCTTGTTACCCAAGGAGAAGCTGGTTGATACCAATGGAGCAGGTGTTTAATTTCTTATTCCCTCTTTTTCAGTGAAATAAAAACTTGATTTACCCAGAACTTATTCCCAGTGATAGCTGTTCCTACTAATCTTCCACCCTGCTATTTTTTATCTCTAGGGACCTCTGATTCTGTTTTCGTTTTTAATTTGGTTTTCTGTTTTGTTCTGGGGAAAGGGAAAGCAGAGGTTGGGCTCAACCTGTAATGTGGCTTATAAGTTTGATTAAGGATGGCTATCACAAGTTTGAACATTTTTGTCTAGTCAGTTTCATGTTACAGAGTCTAGTCGGGTTACTGATACCAAAAAAATGATTGTTAATGTACATCTCTCAGTTGATCTTCAACAATGGTTATGCATTTCAAGTAAAAATTTGATATGCAATGGTCGAGGCTAGGATTGATTTATCAAATCTTGTTTTGGATGTATAATGGGCGAAGAGAATAACCCCTTTATCATATCAGTAATTCAGTATCGATCTAACTGTTAAACTTTTTTTCTCTTTCTTCTGTGGCAGGGGATGCATTTGTTGGTGGATTTTTGTCACAATTGGTTCGAGAGAAGCCGATTGAAGATTGTGTGCGAGCTGGTAGCTATGCAGCAAATGTTATTATCCAAAGGTCTGGATGCACATACCCGGAAAAGCCCGATTTCAACTAGGTTCTTTTCTTGGACCAGAAGAGCACTCTACCCTCTGCGTCTATCCTTAGGATATCCAATTATTACTATTATGCAATTGCCTCCTCATATAATTGTGACAGCCTTCATTATTTTTCTCCTGAACCCATTTACAAGGTATAGGAGTTTATTTGTTTTGGGTGTTGTGATTGTGATCATCTACTCAAGATGGAAATTATATGTATCCTTCTGTTTTGCATTTTGAGTAAGAGATTTTGGAATAAACCTTTCATTTAGCTAATTTCGGCAGAGCCCTCTCACACCGTTCTAATGAATTATATTTTTGTTAACAAAACTAGTTAATGATGGAATTACATTAAAGTACAAACGTGTTAAAATAAATGTATTCTTCGCTAACCTCTCAATAATAATAATAATAATAATAATAACAACCCTCTCATAAACAGTTGTTCTTTCTGGTATTGATTACGGAATCTCAAATTTACTTTCAAGACGTTGACTTTGGTTACTTGTTGTCACCTGAATGTTTAAGGTCTCGTTCGCTTTGCGGATTTGAGTTTTTAATTCGAAATTGTAGTAAAAAAAGTTAGATGTAGATATTTTTTGAAGCTTTTAACTATAAAAATTGAAAACTCAAATCAGTAAAATGAAACGAACGAGGTTTAAATTTAGCAAGTAATATTCTTTAAGATATGGAAACCGGAAAGCATATTGGTCCGCTGGATTATAAAAGGATGAAAAAACGGTTCTGTTGGAGGGATTTGATAATATTGGGAAGTTGTCCTCGGCGCGAAGCACAATCCTTGAGGCTATATTCTATTACATCTCTAGACCTTGAGGATTCAGTTATCTGAATTTGTAAGAAGATGTAATCCTAAATACTCAACTCTGAAAAGCTACCGAGACTAGTCTCGTTGAGTTTGTCGATTTGAGTTTTCTATTCGAGTTGAGATGTAATTTTATGTGAGAATTTTTAACTATAGTAAAAAAGTTAAATGTGACTTTTTGTGAGAATTTTTAACTGTAGTAAAATTGGAATTGAAAACTCGAATCGGTAAAATAAATGAAGTCAATGTCACCTCATAAACGCCAAACTCCAAAAACCTAATTAGTTACTTCCAGTTACGCAAATCAACTTTGAAAATTCAAAAGAACTATAACAAAAATTGGAGATTAAACAGCATTATTGAGCAATGCTTGTAAACGAATAATATGAGACCAAAAACCGCTTTTGAACAATGAGGAAACATTGAACAAACTAGAAAAAGAATGAAGCTAATAATATGAAGGAACATAGTGAAAATGGAGGAGACGTGTTGCATTGCACTGAAGCTCACGGCTAACTTGGGAAAATTTGGAAGGAAACAAACTTCAATAAAACCTTTATGAGGCTTTAGAATAGAAAGCCAACGTGCTTTACAAACTTGGGGGAAAAGAAAATTACGATGCATATTCTCAATGAGGCATAATACAAGAGATGGACATCACTTTCAAGAATTTGAATTAGTTTTTATAGAAATAAATAGAATATTATCAACGAAGAAAATTGAAAATAGGAAAGAATGATAAAAGTAAAAAACCAAGGTGAGGAAAATGAATTCCAGAGTTGGAGAGATTAAAACAAATGTTGGCCACAAAAACTTCCAATTTATCCTTTTTCCAAAATGCCCTTTCTGCCAAGCAACTCAATACTTGAGTTGGTTTTCTTAGCAAACTTGAAAGTTGAAACTATTGGTGGGTTCAAATATAGCCAAAAAGAACTTGAAATGTTCATTCTATATACATTCTTCTACTTTGTTACAACATCTCTGTGAGGCTTTGAGCCCTCACTAAATACGATGACTAAGCTTGTCTTAGGCACAAATGTACTTTGAATATGATGCATCCAACAATGATTAACAAAAATAACCTGTGTAAAAAATATGAAATGAAAACATTGATAACTTTCCCTCTTTTAGAAACGGGCTCTTGTCCTGAAACAAAATGCAACTCACATACACAAGCCGGACAAACTAGATTTTTTGTTTCTCAAAAACAATAAAATAAAGAAAAATTTTCACTAAACAAATATACAACAAAATGAGCCATGCATTTGCTAATACCTATTTGTTTCTCAAGAATCTTTGCTCACTTTCTCAAAGACAACGAAAACCTCCAATCTCTTTCGAAGCGAATGCACTGGAGAACACTGAGGAAAACGTACTCATCACAAGGAATGCAGAGTCTTGATCCATTGGCAAACTGAAACACATCCTCAACATGTCTGAGAAGTGCTTGGAACAAAGGGTGTTTGAGTGAGGTAATGTTGATGACATATCTTTTGCACTCTTCACCCACATAGACTGCTAAGTGACCTTTTGGGACATCTTTTGGTATTGATTTGTACTTTTTAGGCCTCCAAATGGTGACCTTTTTCTCCCATTTATGAGCCCTAAAAGCTTGCTTTAGGACACTAATAGTACCCTCTTTTCTGCGCTTATTATTGAAGCGTCTTCTGAAGAAACTTATTTTCATGAAAATCTTCATCTTCAATAAGACACACATAGGGAGACAGAGAGGAAAGGTGAGTTGGAAAGTATGGTTCACCAAAGTTGAGTGTTGTATGGGAATATATATATATATATATATATATATATATATATGTGTGTGTGTGTGTGTGTGTGTGTGTGTATTGGCAAGATTAGTTAAAAAATGATAATACAACAAGATTTGAGGCAACAAAGGATTTGATATTCCTATCAAGTAACCATAGATATGGTGTTGGCAATTTACTTTATATATTGATGTATTAATGTATTTGTGAAAACTATGGTACATCCAAAAATTTGAGATGCATCATGCAATTGAAATCTCAGTCACTAGATGATAAAAGAAACAAAAAAAACGACTTTAATTGTTTCAACTTTATAATCCAACGGCTAAAATTTGATTGCGATATATTTTATGAGACGTACCGTAATTCTTCCTATTGATTATTAGAAGTTGACAAGAAAGTGTAGGAATATGCACGGTCTCTTTTAAATATAGGGGTCGGTTAGAGGATTTAAAGGGTTTGGAACTCAGGTTTAGATTTAAATTGGCGTTTATTTGTAAAAAGTATAAAGATATTTGAATCTTTTAATGTGACATTTAAACCCTCAATATAAAAAAATTTCTAGACCCACACCCTTTTTAGGTTCTCAAAAATTAAATACAGGTTCAAATCCTATAATTTAAAACTCACACAGTTTAAGTGGTTATTCTTTTTTAGTGTAATTTGAGTGTAATTTTTGAGTTGAATTTGAGTTATAACTTGAATAAAATTAAATAAAATTAAATAAAATTAGAACTTAAAAGAACATGAATTTAAATAAAATTATAACTTAAATTTAAATTTTTTCTGAATTTTGTTAAAAAAAACAACCTCTAAATCTAAATTTTAAACCCACTCTGATTTGAACCCTTTTAAGCTACGAGATTGAGAGCTTACTCACGTTACTCCAGAGTAATGCTCCGCAAAAGCTGTAAGATATAAAACTTTTTTTTCCCACTTGGATGGAATACAGTGCCATTAAATGGATGACACTAGTACAGTACTTTGCCTGGGCTACTTTAGAATATTAATGGCTTAATGTAAATATCTTAAGGTTCTGTTTATTTTATTGATTTGAGTTCTGTTATATTAAAAAATTTTAAAAAATCACATTTAATTTTTTTAGTATAATAAAAAGTTTTTATATAAAATTATATTTTAACTCAAATTAAAAATTTAAATTAGTGAATTAAACGGGCCTAAGTTTATAAGAGAGAACTTCTGATCGTGTCTTAAGCTTAAAATTCCTCTGGAAAGTACGATTCTTCTCCTAATAAGATAGGAGGCAACGGACTGAAATTATTGTTGCACTAACAGTGGAAACAGCAGGCAAAACCCAATGGATGATATATTTTTAGTGTCAAATCACCATGTAAACCATCAAGTGTCACTACGATTTGAGGTTATTTAGAAATATCACTCATCATTTATTGTGATAGTAAGCTTGCTCGTTTTTCTTAGATCAATTGCATCGGTTGCTCGTTTTCCTTGGTTTAATCATATCTGTAAAGAAATTTTACGCATTCCACTAGTGAGGGATCTTATAAGCCAAATAAGAACACGTTGCCTAATTAGGGTTATTTGTATACTGTATCCTCTATTTTTATAATCTTTTATATTTCAGCCCAAAAAAACAAAAAAAAATGCCACTTTCAGCAGATAAGATTCCATTGTAATATTTATGCCTACAAGTTAGTAGGATAATTGTCGGGAGCTGCATTATTTTCAACATTTGCTACCTTAATTAAGGAGGTTACTGCATTATTTTCAACGATTGTCACGTACTCTAAGTTTTAAAAGTAAGACGTATCCTACTAAAAGTTGTTCATTACACACAAAGTACCATATATAAAATGAGTAACGCTAAGGACACTAAATTAAATTTCAACTCTTGTGTATCAATTAATGTGTTATGTGAGTTGACATCTTTTTATTAGTAGATGTAATTTATTATCATTAATTGACGTGATAATATTTTAAACTCATATTGTTATAAAAAAGATAAATTATATATCACATCAGCTGATGCATAAAGTTAGAGATTTTAATTCACGTCACTGACATTATGCTAATTCATCAAGTGTATTTCTTTTCTCCGGGAAAAAAAAAAAGGAGGAATACCTTGACCCAAGTTTTGGATTGTCCTTGGTTTGTCTTGCTTGTTCATAAATGGCACACAGATTTTTATTGAAACAAAGACTTTTCTTTGCATGAAATATGAGATTCTCTGCAGTACACATCAGCCTTCAATTATTTTAGCCAACAGATTATTAAAGTAGCTTTGTCAAAAATGATTTTCTTAACTCCCTGCCCATTCTTCATTGCTAGGGAGAGATGGGATGGTTGGAGGTTGGAAGGTCTCTTTCTCACATGATGCACAAAATCTGGTAGTTTTCAGGACATAATATTCCGATTGATAGTCCCTTCCTTTTTTGTTTTTTTTTTTTTTTTTTTTTTTTTTTTTTTTTTTTTTCTTATTTATCTTTTTAAGCCTTTATGTAGGAGAAACTGTTTTAATGTTTATCTGAAGAACCTTTTTCTTCAAAGAGTAAGTGATAAACTACATTACATCCCAATGTCACATGGACATTTTAAGCCATTAGGTAATTAAGAATAAAAGGATATGAAAACTAGTACTAACAAAACCTCCATTTTCTTAAAGTCTCGTTCATATAATTTGCCTGTGCTTTTTCATCGTAATGCGTAAGAGACGCATGGCTGTAGTGATATGGATATGATTTTGTGTTAGGGTTCTTAATTAGCTGCTAAATTTGTGGATTCGGGGCTTTTCAACAATAAATGCTTTGAAAAATTCGTTTTCGCCAGTTGTATTTTGAAACTTTTGTGCGCATATATCTATTTAAGGGCCGAGGATGAAGATCTTCTTCTGTCTGATCTTCTGTCCCACTCTAAAGTGACAACAAATTAAGAGAGAGATTTTATATGTACCATTTAACAAGTTTAATTAGCTTATCAATTATTTAGAAAAGCATAGGGCAAATTTTGGAGCCGCATTTGCATATGCTATGGAGTATTGGAGTCTTTCCATATATGTTTTGTTGTCCTTGGGCCCTTGGCACAAGAATTGCCACATCCGTCTGTCATAGATAAATGTTAACATCATTTTTTCTCTCTCTACATTTATTATTATTGTTTGACACGTGTACTTTACTTTCACATCTTCTATTTAAATAATAATTATCCAACCAATTCTCTCTCTATAATATTATTGTTTTTACTAAGTATATAAAAAGTAGCCCAGTATATTTAAAATTTTTTTAGAACTGGCCTTTCAAAATTAATATGAAATTTATATTGTCCCCTGTGGTTACTATTTAGTATTGCCCCTTTTGTTTTAATTTGTTTAAGTTAGTCTATTTTGATTAAAAAAAAAAAACTTTATGATTAAGAGGTCAATAATAGAAAGATGACTATTAATGTATTTGCACTTTTTCATATATTTGTAAGTTAAGTTTTTGTAGTTGCCTTGGATGATGCAGTTTCTGTCGCTGCCATGTCTCTCGCCAGTCGCCATCCACAATTAGAACAATGGTCTGCATTGTCTTGGGTGATCAACCAATCTAGCCCGAAAATGTAGCCATATTTTCATTAAAGTACAAAACTTGTTCAACCGCATCCCCCTTTTACGTATAATTATAGATTATAGACTAGTGCGGGAAAGTGCCTACAACATTTCTATGGTGTATGTTGTACTCTTTTTCTTTCTTTTATCTAGTAAGAAGAAGATAAATTTAAATTATATTTTTTCGAAGTATAAATTCTGTTTCTCAACTCTAAGTCAATTAATTTGATTTTTCTCTCACTAAAACTCTTCTTTTCTCGTTCTAAATTAACAGAGCTTCGGTAAGTTCTAGTCACAAAAAAATGACCCCTTTTGCCTTCATGCTTCTCCTATTTATATATTTCTCATTCTTTTTGAGGTTAAATCTTAGCTTCATTTATTATCTACATCATCTTTACTCCTCTCATTCTAGATTCTGAAGATTCACTTCTCCATTTCAATTTTATTCTTCTTGGAGATTTGGCGGTCCACATATATAAGCTTTTTTCCGTCATGAAGATTTGCCGTTCTCCTTTATATACAACTTAAAAGGTCGTCGTTCCTTCTCATATTAAACGACCCCGTTCTATACTAACTAACATGCATCTTAATGAGTTAGAAATCAATTCACTTTTTTTAGTTTCCTTACTTTTAATGTTATAAACAAAAAGTATATAAACCTTGTTATTGCATGATAACAATATTAATAGTGAACTTGAGGAAGAAACTTAAATAGAAAATGCATAATAAGTAAACTATTGATAAGATACAAAGATGAAAAGAGTTCATAAGGAGGGGAGGAAGAGAACTCCTTTTTTTTTTCCTTATATGCACAGCTGTACGTTTTTTATTTTTAGAGAATATAAAAGGAAATAAATAAATTGAGTTTGAGCAGCTTAAATTTACAATATAGACAGCTGTTACTATTTTAAGCAGGATAAAACAGAACAAGAGGAAATTAAACAACCAAAAATATTAATAGCTGTACAATTTTAAGTAAAGTCTGACGTTGCAGCCAAAAAAAAAAAAGTTAAAGATAAACATGTCCTTGTTTTGAAGTACAAAAGAAAACAAGGGGGTGTCCCCTCTTTTATGATTATTTAGAGATTTATAAATTACAAATGGTAAATATGATAAGATGAAAATACACAAAGAATTCCTTATGAAAAATCTAATGCGCTTATCTCTTTTTATTATAAAAACACACAAAATATGCCTTATGAAACTAATATATTTACCTCGTTTTATTATATATAAAACACCACTTAGTATTCATTATATTTGTAAAATCAATCCACGCTGCCGTCTCCTCTCTCCTCATCGCGTCTCATCATCCTCGAGCCTCGCAATGGTATGAGAGGCTGGTTTACGAGTATGTCACGCAACAAAAAA